GAAATCGAGGGGAAGGTTTAACGAGGGCTTGTACGACAGCACAAACGTGGGGGTAACACGCCACAATCGAGGGGGAAGGTTTAACGATGGCGTGTACGACAGCACAAACGTGGGGGTAACACGCCACAATCGAGGGGGAAGGTTTAACGATGGCGTGTACGACAGCACAAACGTGGGGGTAACACGCCACAATCGAGGGGGAAGGTTTAACGATGGCGTGTACGACGGCACAAACGTGAGGGTAACACGCCACAATCGAGGGGGAAGGTTTAACGAGGGCATGTACGACGGCACAAACGTGAGGGTAACACGCCACAATCGAGGGGGAGGTTTAGCGAGGGCTTGTACGACGACACAAACGTGAGGTTAACACGCCACAATCGAGGGAGAAGGTTTAACGAGGGCTTGTACGACGGCACAAACGTGGGGTTAACACGCCACAATCGAGGGGGAAGGTTTACTGAGGACTTGTACAATGTACGACGCCACAAACGTGAGGTTAACACGCCACAATCGAGGGGGAAGGTTTAACGAGGGCTTGTACGACGGCACAAACGTGAGGTTAACACGCCACAATCGAGGGGGAAGGTTTAACGAGGGCTTGTACGACGGCACAAACGTGAGGGTAACACGCCACAATCGAGGGGGAAGTTTAACAACAACGAAATAAAAAAGCGTAGGTAACGCAAAAAAAAGACAAGACGAAACGCATTTTAAGTTCGACACGACATACGCCGACACAAATGTAAGGAAAACGCGTTACGGTACGTAATCGTTGGATAATGTAAAGGAGCAATCGAGGGAAGAAATTGGCACCAGATGGCTTCAGGGTTCTCCCCAAGATGAAATTGAAACAGGGGGAGGGGAAGGGGAGAGGGGGAGGGAAGAAAAACTAGGGGGTTCCGGGGAGCGAAATTATTTTTCCCACGAGAGTTCTGGATACACCATAGATAGTGTTTGGTACTATGCCACGCATACATAAGATAGCCGAGTCGGTTTAAAGTTAGTGTTAGGGTTAGGGTTGGTTTCGCATCAATAAACGATCAATTCCCGCGCTGTCAAACTTGTATTGTGGTGGAATTTAATCATCGCGGAGATAATTTAAACGTGGCGCAACGATTGAAATGGGGGGAGGAGTTTTCCCAAACGGGGCGGGCGCGCCCGGTTTGCGCAACGTAGGGAGGGGCCTGGGCTTTCCGGCTTCGTGACTGCTTAGAAACGAGGCATTCCGCGCTAGATTACCATCGCTACTCCCCCAGCGAGGCAGCCAAACTATGGGAAGACACACGATGCGACATTGTGAAGCGAACTACGCACCGCGATGAGATTACGATTAAAAAGTAATTATTATAATGTGTATTATATTACCAGGGGTTAATAATGACAAATTTGTCATTATTAACCCCTGATAATATTTAATATTTAACCCCTGATAATGTATATTATATTACCAGGGGTTAATAATGACAAATTTGTTTATATTTTACAAATATATTTAATATTTAACCCCTGATAATGTATATTATATTACCAGGGGTTAATAATGACAAATTTGTCATTATTAACCCCTGATATTATGTATATAATGAAAGTGTCAATGACACTGTAGCTCACCACAAAAAAGGACACAAATGAGTGAGTAAGAAGAAGTCAGTTTTACATTGAGCAACTATCGACGTACATTATAGAAATGCATTGCCATCTGTATATTCACAATAATAATTTATTAAACCAAAATGAATCACAATTTG